TGAATATGAATTCTAATTTAAGTAGAAGTTACAGTATGTGTGTTTGGGGTAAATATTTGTAAGATTTAGTCATAATATATATAGCATAAAAAGGTAAACCCTAATCTAAAAGCCATATACCATAAATGATATACACAGAATATTTAAATGTTTGATGTGTATAGTTTCAGTTTTTATTTTATTGTTTTTGTTAGATATTTATAATATTGACTATAAATATTTTATTAACAAAATAAGACAATACTTATAAAGCATAAACGAATTCACAGTATATTTATAGAATTTTTGTGAAAATATAATTTGGTTATAATGACGTTTACATTTTTATAGGTCTTACTTCGATTTTTGACAACTGAACGTAGAGTTTGTGACAAATTTTGATAAAATTCATTATTATAGTAATTGTTAAAAGTTAATTATTTTCTCATAAAGATTATTTATAACAATTTGAAAATTAAAGTTGATTTTTTTGAATTATTTATGAAATTGAAAGTTGTGATGCATTATTGACGAGTTGGTAAGCCACGATACCACAAATATAGGAATATTTAATTGTAATTATGCAGCAAATGAAAATTTAACAATGAAAATAAAACATTTAATAACAGTCATCCATATTTAAAAACAACATACACTTAAAATACAATATTGTTATGATGATTAAGTCATATATCCTTTTGAATTACCTGAGACAAACATGGAACAAACAATTAGTAAATAATATTAATTGGTTTATATGCAATATAAAAATGTTATTAAATTAAAATTGACTGTGTATACTGACCCGTTGCACATTGTTTTTGGTTATGTTTAAAAAGTATGGACCACGAAAACGGCCTGGGGCAAAGACCACAATCTGGGAAAAAGTTAAAGTAAATAAATTGGACAATTAAGTTAAATTTGATATATTGTTAGTACAAATATTACCTCCCTCAACACTAAGACACAACCAACAACAATGTGTTGGCCGTATTGTGGGTGGTCCTTTGCTTTGTAATGTAGGCTTGCCCCAATGGTTGCAGTTGGGTCCTAAATTAAGCATTATGTTATTATTAAATGAAATATTTTTAATGAAGTATACGAAAGTTTAGTATTGATACCTTCAATTTAAGTGTATAATTGTCGTTGCCTGTTGGGGTCATGGAGTCGACAAAAGCAACAACAGTTGCAACCCTTTCTAAATTATGGTCTATGTTAATCAATGGTGTCACTTCTGGTAGTCCTATTGTTAATAAACAGATACAACACATTATTTTAATTGCGTTGGAATATTTAAAGAGATAGACATAAATAATGGAAGAAACCTCTGGATTTTACATAATGTAGAGCATAACGCCAGGGGTTAGTGTTGAACACCATGTTGGCAACTCGGCCAATATTTGAATGCAATTGTTTTGCTGATAAAGGATTATCAGATTGCCTATTGGTGATCTCAGCTTGCACCATACCAGCAGGTCCAGGAATAACAGTGGGTATGTTAAATGACCTAAATGTGTGGTCATCATTATCGTCTCCAAGTTCCTGCGGTGGTGGTGATAATGGAGACAATGGTCGTTGTTCTGTAGCGTCATCAACTTCCTTAGCTTCCCTAATCCTTCTCCATTGAGATAGTAATTGTTCATGTATGATTTCTTCCTCTGACCGAAGTAAGTGTTGCTCCTCATCGCTGTCTGGTACGTAATCCACTCCTCTACGAGACATTTCTAATATAAAAAAACAAATATTATTGTAATAATATTAATTGATTTTGTCATTTATTTAATATTTATCATGTATTTCAATATAAATAAATTAAAGTATTATTTGATTTTGTCATTTATTTTATATTTATCATGTATTTCAATATAAATAAATTAAAGAAATTTGATGTACGGTTTTTATTTACAATTATTAAATAATACATTCAGTATATATATATATATATATATATATATATACTTTTTTTAATGATATTTATAGTATTTTATAATTTAGTTAAACACGGTACGTACAATTATTTAAATTAATTGAAATGATTTAACTTATAATATCTGGAAAATAATATCATTTGAGTAGGTTGAGGATATTTCATACGTTTGTGTTTAATAATTTCAATATTTTTACTTAAATGTGTTTATTATAAAAATTAAAATACTGCTTAAATATATTATTTATATTAACTTAGAATATAAGTAACATATATGCAAATATAGGTTTTTTTTTATTAAATTATTTAATTTTAAATTTTTTTATCTTACATAGCATTTATTAAGTATCAAATTTATTAGAATATGGGTTATAATAAATATAGTATTGTATTTTAATAGATAGTTCATATACATGACATTTGATTAGAACATGAATTTAAGGATAAACTGAAATATTGAATTGTTATATTAGACTTACGTGTAAAGATGAGTAGTAAATACGTGAAAATAATTTCAAACCTGCAATCCAAGAATACAAGTATATTGAGAAAATATATATGAAGTATTAATAATTTATATTATTGTCATATAAATATGATATATAAAAAGATACATTAATAAGAAAATAACACTTACAACAAGGAAGTCTAGCGGAGAACAATAAATGTAGGCAAAGCAAAGGATGAACACTTGGGCCGAGAATGACCGGCATGATGTATAAATAGAGAAACTGGAAATTACAAAAAACACTGGGCCCACGCGGCATTAAGGGAATGGTTGGTCAAAGGCTGGTGAGAAGTGATGTGATGCGCCATCTCCCTCGTCACAAGTCAGACGGTGGTGAGTGGTCACCTCATGCAGCAATAAAAGAACACAAGGCGTGAAGTAGTACAAGGTGTTGGCAGCATTTCATACAGAACACACTACAGAAGTATAAGTAAGAGAATCCTAATACAGAACACCACGTGTTCTTAAGTAAAATAAATTACTTAAATCAATATAAAATTTGATTTGTCGTACAATAGATATATTTTTTTAACATGTACAGCAAGCAGAGGACATGAGACCTAAGTTCCAGCATTTTGGTTGTCTATATAATTAACTTACCATTTATACAATACATATATTTTTTGAACATGGACAGCAAACCGAGGACATTAAATCATTTCAATTGTCATCATTATTTGGCACCTTCATCCGCAGAAGCTACTGACCGCATAGTGGTGGAATGGAAGTGATTCATTTGTTTTGTGTGACTGGCAAAGTTGAAAGATGGCAATGGTTTTCCAATAGTTTATTACTTTTAATTTCGTTGTCCAGTGTGTAGACCTTTGTTTTGGTTTTTCATTGACGAAATAAGATGCGAAAACAAAATATCAAATCATATGGTATGCTTTTTTATATACGTGTTGTACAATATTAATAAAATAATAAATGTTTTAATTATTATTTATTAGCGTCGTAATTTGATTATAAATGGTAATGTGTATTGTCATTTGTGAGGTTGAGTTCATCCATACCTCCTCTTTCTACAGGAAAAAAATGAGTACAAACAGCTCTCAGCCAAAGGTTTATGTCGTCTTTGAGGGACGGAACCCAGGAATTTATTACTGTTGGGAAGAATGTGAAGCACAGGTTAGTGGCTACAAGGGTAACAAGCATAAATCATATGCCACGTATGAAGAAGCATGGTCTGCTTGGATAATGTACTGCAACAAAGAAGCCAATGAAGACAAAAAAAATAAAAACAAAGGTCACAGAAAATGTCGAAAAGAATCAACGAGTACCGGAGAAGGTTGATTTTTCCATTAATTTATGAATAAATATGTATTTTAAAAATTGTTAATTACTTTTTGTTTTTTTATTTTGTTATTAGGTAGTAAGCCACATGATACTGCAGAGGACAGTAATTGTGAGGTGTTTCTTGTTCATCAAAGCATGAGAATATTGTTGTCTCACATATGTGTCGTTCGTGGTTATCCTGACCCAATGTTCACATTGGAGCGAAAACAGATTGTTCACGGAGTTGAGTATCGTAGGTACTATGGAACATTGGTTACGGGTGATGTTGGGAAACTGGTTTCATTGGGAAAATTTGCAGCAAATGACTACGATGCTCAAGAGGATGTGTCGACTTCATTGATTCGTCGACTACTAGCAGCAACGGGTAAAAAGATTCGTGACTACAACTACTATAATGTTCAAATCCTGGAGGAAAAACTTGAAAAAACAATAAATGAAAATTTGGAGCTGGAGATGGAGGTTTGTATGTTGAATCAACAGATGGCAAATTTCAGAGCTGCGAAGGAAAAACAAGAAGAATGATTGTTTGAAAGACGTTTCCTACTCCGCCCTAGTGACTGCATGTTTTGCTGGTATGTTAAGGACATCATAAATGTATTTCTTGGTTTTTTGATGTTTTTGGATGGGGGGTGGTTATTTCCTTTTATGAGAATGTTTTGTCATATGTTGTATGTATATAAGTTGTCCCTTTTTTAAAAATGATGAATGTGTTATCTTCGTCATAATTGTTGAACCTCCACTCAAGTCACCCAACATTGTCTTTATTTATTTATGCACTCAACAGTGACTGTTTGCGTTATGCGGTGCAATTATTTGTCGTGAATACACATGTTACATACACTTGCATTTACTTTTCTTTTAACATCGACAAATTGATTCATATTTGTTATTTCATGGGAGTCTGGCTGTTTTAATTCAGTCGTTAATTATAAACATTTTGTGTCTATAATTTGTGTTCATTGAATGCAGTCAACTTCATTATAAACTAACAATACAATTGTAGCGTGAATGATTACAAATTATAACTCAGAACGAAAGTCATGTAATACAGTATGTCTTGCAATAAAGACAAACACCATTACCCTTTTTGTACATATAGGATCTTCGGATCATGAGTAAAATAAAATTGAAGGACATCGTCGACCAAAAAGTTGTTTGAACACACAAAGTCATACCATCCTGCAGCCATGTACCTTTTATGACAACTTCCCTTAAGTTGACATAAATATTGATTACCTTCTTCATCTTGTATGACTATTTTTTGTTGTTCATTTGGGATAAAATCTCTAACAACTTCAGATGGAATAGTCTACAATAACAACATTTTATAATTAGTCATCAAATAAAATATTAATTAAAATCATTTTGAGTACTTAATTACTAACAAAACTTACCAACGGTTGTAATTGAAATAAATCATCCTGACTAATTATTTTGATCCAACTTTTGTCAAGCATAAACGATTGTAAATTATCTTCGTCTTTTCGAATATCATAATTAATCTCGAATTTGCTTGCAGAAAAAACCCTTATTAAGAACTTATTATGCTCCACATAATGAATCCATAGCAGATGATTCTTTTTAAGCTGATAACTTTGTACCAGTTGCAAAGCACCTCTCAATTGGAAATCAACTCCACGTGAATCGTATTCTAATTGAAAACAAAATTCATTTCCTGCAAGATCACTAATCAGCGCAATGCCAACATTTATCTTATGTTGCCAAAAGAAATTAAAAGTTCCTCCAAGTGGCAATATATCCTGGTATAAAAGAATATAACATCAAATTTAAACAAATGAAATTACATAATGATACAAAAACTCTACACATTTTTTTTATGATTAATTATATGTACTATATACTTAATATTAATATACTTTATCTGTATGTGTGTAAATACTAACAAAATGTGTTTTATATTTAAATACATTATTTTCTGTATATAATTAAAGGAAGTCATATTATATGTAGTTTATATTTAAAATTATTAAAGTTTAGGTGTATGTGTTTAAGGGGGTTAAATATGACTTTTATATTTAATTAAAGTAAGTCATATTATATGTACTTTATATTTAACATTAATAGAGTTTAGGTATGTTTGTGTAAGGAGAAAAATATGAATACACTATGCTAGTTACTTACAATGATGACTCTAATGTTAACTAATCATGACCAAATGACAAAAGTAAAATGATATTATATATTTAGGGTTTATTTAAGATTATTGAAGTATAACTATATGTGCGTAACAAAATGTTTATGTTAAAAAAAATGTTAATTTATTTTTTCCAACAGTTAATTAATTGATATAAATTATTTCATAACTCAAACGTTATTATTGGTGTTTATTAAAAAAACTCCGTAATATTGCATTTGAAGTAAATGCAAGGTAATAATATATGCAATGACTTAGACTATCTCATCCCGATATTCAATACTGCGGATAATTATTGCTTGTGGAATTCGAAATTTGTCTTTTGAATAGAAAGGGACATTATGGGTTGTGCACGTTCAAAAAGGTGAAACCCTTTATTGAATTCTTCGGAGAGTAATCATAACTTATGTAAAGAATTTAACTCTGAAATAGGAACCGTTCATGAGGAAAAGGCTATATGTAAACCCTTTCAACTTTCTACTTAAAAGCAACACTGCTGTTTTTGTTCACGAAACACAGGCTTTTCACATTCCGTCTTCCACAACCCAAAACCATCTATTTCCAGTTCACTTCATCGTTGTGTCATCCAGGTATGTCGCTTTTCACTTTCAGTTTCAATTTCAATTTTATTTCAACTACACAATGCAACAACATAAATAATTGTTAGTAAACAAATTTATTGGTTCAGATTTTAAAAATGGCATCTTCATCCACAACCCTAAACAATGGCAACTTCAAAAACTGGTTTCAAAACCCTAAATATATAATATCATTTTACTTTTGTCATTTGGTCATGATTAGTTAACATTAGAGTCATCATTGTAAGTAACTAGCAT